GAGTGTAGATAATTAGTAGGATCTAGGTTTAAGCTTAGTGTACTTGATATATATAAATACGAAAATATAGTAATACATATAATGAAAGTATTAACAATAAATAAAGTCATGACCAAGATTTCATCTGAACATCAAAAAAAAAAAATTTGTAAAAAATTTTTATTGAACAATAAGTAATATATAGTATTATATAGTTATATACTTAATTTTGATTGGCTATTTATATAGAGTTGCTATAAACTGACATCCAAAATTAGATTATATTTTTATTAAGTTCTAAGAGTATATTGCTATATATTTAAAAATTATATATATTTTTATGATATCAGTATATTATATAGTTTATCAGTTATATAGTGCTGAAAGCCTATACTATACAATAAAATAGGATAACTTTGAAATGCATCATCTTTTTATAAAGACAATATTTTTAAAAGATATTTGGCAAACTTGTAGAGCTTATCATAGCGAACAAAGTTACTGATCAGATTTTTAAAATGTTGTCTTTAAAAAAGTTATAGTACTTTAAAGTTAATTAAAATTAAAACACATAGTAATTATATATAAAAGGTTTTTAAAAAAAATATTTGGCATAGTTATAGAACTAATATTCTTTTATAAAGTTACTAGGCAGTTTTTTAAAAAACCTCTTGTACAAAAAATTATAGCGATTTAAAAATTGAAATGTGTTGAGTATAGGCTTCTAGCACCATATTTGCGGATTAAAATATAGTTAAAATAGTTCTTTATTTAATTTATTTACAAATCTTTTTATAATTATTTTAGTATCTTATATAAATAAATATTAAATTTAAAAATGATTTAAGAATTAACAATGATCTATAATTAAATCTACTTAATTGGTGATTCTCTAATTAACTAAAAAAAAATTATTTTTTTATATATAAATTTTACTATAAGTTTAAAAGTAAAGCACTTCTATCTAAAACTTTTTTTTATTAAGTAAATTACTCTTAAGCTTCTAACAAAAGTTGTAAAGCTTATTAAGATACATCTATTAAAATTAGTCTAGTAATTTTTTTAGAAATCTTTAAAAAACATTTTGTTAATATTTAAAAAAAAGACAAATTTAATACTCATCAGTAGTAAATTTCACTAGTTCAATTAGAATTAAAAATCAGATATAATATATAGATAATTTTGTATAACAAAAATAATAAATTTTTTAAAAATTATTAATATCTTAAAATTTTGTTTATAAAATTATCTTTTTGGCTCTAATAAAAAAAAAGTTATTGTAAAAATTTTCAGAAGTGAACCAGAAAGAGTTTTTTTTTTTTGTAGTCAAGGTTAGCCTCTTTAGCTTATCGCTTTTATTAGATATTAGGATCATATGGTGCCTTTATCAAAGGGGCCCCAGACAAGTACATTCTGACGAGAATACATTCTAGCCATATCTGCACCTTTTGGGTGCTTAATTAAGTATTCTACCTATGTGTTAGGTGCTACACTAGATGCTGTATCTATAACTCACTATTACTTGAATTACCCAATTAAATACTCTAATCTGAGTTTCAGAAAGAGTTTTTTTTATATATGTTTTTTTAATATTCTATTAAAAAGATTGATACAAACTCTCTCTCGAACAAATTCATAAGAGAAAGAATGTAAAACAATATATATGATAACTACTCAATACAAGTTTACAAACTACTCAAAGCAAGGCTCAACAAGGGCACTAGCCCTTGTACCAAAGAAAAGAAAACATATTCCTCTTGGAATACAAGAAACTTGCAACAAAAAATTAAAAATACAAAATTTTCTCTTGAACAAACAAAGAGAAATAAACAGTATGTCAAAACAACAACAAAGAGAAGAAACTATTGCAAATACAGCAATGTTAACACAAATAGTTGAAAAGACTGCAGAAAATGCCAGCTGAGAAGAACTAGTCTTCTCAGAAGAAGAAAGTCAAAGCTCAACTTCTACAAACACGTTAACATATAAAAACAAAGAACAACAAAACAACAACAACAAAACAAATCACGTTACAGAACACGTGCAAAATCTAATGAATGTAGATCAAGATCAACCACGGGAATAAAATAGACTAGGGGCCGTAGAATTTTCTGAACACAACTCATATACTAGAAGTTCATCTTCTAAAGGAAAAGCCAAGAAGGATTTTAATCAATCAAAAGATACAACAACTAAGAAGTGATCAAGTTTATTTCCCAAACTAAGAAGAGGCCAATCAACCTATGCAGCTTTCTCTTCCAGAGAGCAAATAAGAACCAAAAACGAAAACGCATTAATCATTGAAATACAAAATATCCAAAGCTCCTTCAATGAAATAATAGTCTCACTTTATAAAAGTGTTAAACAGGATGTTATAGCAGCAAAATAACACTTCAAAAAAGGAAATCACACACACTTAGAGATTGTTTTTACTAACAGAACCACTCTGGGTGTCTATGCAGCTAAAGGCATCAATATCTTTAACAAAACATACTTTGGCTATATCCCAACAGACTTACGCAAGTCTTTTCTTCTGGTAAAACTCAGGAATGTTCCATTAGGAGGGAAAGAAGAGATAACAATGCTAATTAAAGACGCATTTCAAGATTTTGGCAAAATAGCCTTAATCAAACCATTGGTGATTAAAGGAACTCCATATTTAACTGACCAGTGGATTGTTATTCTGAAGATGCAGATCTGGAAAAACAAATTCCTCGCTTTACTCATCTCAGAGATAACAAAATTACAACTGAATGGAAAGCAGCTCCTAAAGTCTGCTATTTCTGCGACCAAGAAGGACATATAAAAAAGGAATGTTCGCAGTACAAAGAATCAGTTGCATTAAGACAACATTACAGAGAATTCAAAGAAGCCTTCAAGACAAGAAATAGAGATAACTATAACAAAGTAGCTTAAGAGATAGAAAGTCCTCCAGAAACCGAAGAGAAAGAAGAAGTAAAAGAAGAAGCAATGAGTATAGAAACACCTGAAGAACAAGAGATGAAGGATGTCTCTCTTAGTATAGTCAGCGAAATAGATGATCTGCAAAAGGTAGCTGAACAAACAACCACTTTCTCAGAAGCAGAACTTATAACAAGGGATGAGCTAGCACTTGATGGTCTATCATTTAGAGATAACAACAAAGAGAATAACCCTACTCAAGGAAATATATCATTAGTAATTCTAATGGAGGAAGACTTTACAACAGTATCCTACAAAAGGAAAAAGAACAAACAAATCAAAAATATACGCAAACAAGCAACAGTAAGGCAAACTCCATACAAGAAAGGATGAACAGAGAAGAACTCTCCGAAAACTCAATAAGAGCACAACTTTTCTCATAATCTAATGACTAAAGCAATAATTAAAATTGCTACCCTAAATGTAAAGAGACTTAATGATCAAAACAAAAGACAAAAAACAATGCCACTTTTAAAATCATATAATCTAGATTTAATATTATTATAAGAAACAAATTTGAATAATCAGACAACACAAACTTTTATTAAGAAGCAATGAATATACGAATCAATATGGACAAACAAAACTGCTATATTGGCAGAAAAAAAAGAAATAAAATTTCAGAACATAGAGATTCTATACGAAGGAAGAGTAATCTCTACAAGCTTTATGTATAGAGGTCACTCCTTCTCAATTACAAATATTTATGCTCCTCCAAATATAAAAGACAGAATAGCCTTCTTTGACAAATAGTCTTCACAATACAAAGAAAACACTATCAACATTCTGGCATGAGATTTTAATACAAATCTAGACCCTGCTATAAACAGAATAAGCCAAGCTTCAGCTCAAAGTGACAATTCTAGAACTCAACTCAAGGACCTGGTGAAGAATTATATAGACTCTGCAATTTATACAGAACAAAAACCTTTTCTCACATTCCATCAAAAGGTTCAAAATAACTAAATGATGGCAACTAGACTTGATTACATCTTTATAGATGAAAACTATAAACACCTTATATCATCCACAGAGCTGCTCTATAGCAACTCGGACCACTTATTAATTGAATGCACTCTTGCTGAAAAACAAAAGATCAATCAATCCTCTAACTGGAGGTTTGACAAGAACTCTTTTAAAAACGAACTCTTGAAAAAAAAGATAACAGAGAAAATTATGTCTTCTGAAGATGCAGCAGAATGGAACCTACAAAAGCTAAAAATATAGTCAATTATAAGAGCCTTCAAGAAGCCAAAAGCTCCAGAAACCAAGATCTCAAAGATCAACAAAAAACTTACAGAATTGTAAGAACAAATTGCAGAAGACCCAACTAAATCCTACCTATACTCTGCATGTAAAGATCTCAACTTCCATATGCAGGAAGAAGTGATACTCCTAGCAGACAGGTGGCAAATTCGCTCAAAAACAAGATGGATCGAACAAGAAGAGAAGTCTACAAAATACTTCTTCTTTTACTACAAGTCTTGACATGTAAACTCAGCTCTCTCAATCGTTAAAGAACCTAACAACATGAACAAGAGCAGTAAAGAAGATACTCTGAAGTTCATTAAAGATTAATATGAAAAGATTTACAAAAAAGAAAAACAGATCAGAAGGCAATCGACAAATTGACTAACAACTTGGCACAAGTGTCAGAAGAACTAAATGCAGGCTTAATCAAACCTATTACACAGGAAGAGATTAGCCAAACAATAAGGCAACTTCTGAACAACAAATCTCCAGGAGTTGATGGCCTTACTTACAAGTTCTATAAACTTACAGAAAAACAGATAGTTTCAGTCCTCAAAAAAATCTTTAATCAAGTCCTTACAGCAGGAACGCTCCCAGCATCTTGGTGCAAAAATATGATAACTCTAATATCTAAGAAGTCAGCAAACTTAACCAATTTGAATAACTGGTCATTAGTCAACTGTGATGCCAAAATTTTCATAAAAATTTTGGCTATCAGACTAAATAAAGTTTGCAAATCTATAATCTCAGATCATCAACAGGGCTTTGTCACAAAAAGATCAATAGCAGATGCAGCCTTGGATATCCTTACAACAATGAGAAATCAAACAGACATTACCAAACAACACTGGATGCTTTTTGTTGATCAGAAAAAAGCCTTTGA